TTCTGGGAACAATAATAGTCGTGCTTGTATTTTTTTTTTTTGTTAATTTAAATAATTTATCAAATTACCTAAATAACTGAATATAAAACAAATAATGAGATTAATAAGCAAGTAATTGGAATGTTGAGGAATGTCCTTGTGTTTTGCATGCGTAAAACGATATTATTTAAGAAATAATACCATAAATGCTCCTCACCAACAGAAACTTTATATAAGTTTACATTGTTGATAGCATCCACAAATTAAAACGAAAACTCTATAGTTATTACTAATAAAATTAACTTATATACTTACTGTAACGTAAACATTCGTCCTCGTCAGTGCCATCGACGCAGTTTTTTTTACCATCGCACACAAAGAACCAAGAAACGCACTGCCCATTTCTACATTGAAATGTGTCTTTGAGGCAACCTGGAATACAATACACCTTTTGATACCATTTTTACTATGTAAAATTGATAAATGTTTTTATTGTTTTATTTACGATTTCAAATAAGTAAACTATTGGTTGAGTAGTGTACTTTCCGACCGTCCTCTAGTGTGGCAGCACTAAATTTATGAACTTCCAAGCAACTCTAAAATCCGGGGTGCAGATAACCCATTGTTTAGCTTGACGCTAAAACAAACAAAATATTTGCCAAGTATTAAATTATTTTAAAGTTTTGATAATAGTGCAAGAATCATTTAAGAATTTAGTGTTACATAAATATAAACAAGCCTCACTAGTTATGTAATATTAAGTAAGTATATCAATATAGCTGAGAATACAAAGAATAATACAAAGAACTTGTTAAATTCGTTGTGAAGAAAACTACTTATGTAGTCGAGGCTTCAACTAATAATAAATACCCAGATTTAAATAAAAAGGAAGTCTGTATTTTTAAGAGTATCTTCTAGTGTTTTTTGTTTGTTTGTTGTTTAGCACAAAGCTACACAATGGGCTATCTGTGCTCTGCCCACCACAGGTATCGAAACCCGGTTTCTAGCGTTGTAAGTCTGCAGACATATCGCTGTGGTATTCATTTGTTATTTCGTTTTGTTTTGTTTACTTTGAAGAATAAAAAGAGTACGGGGTTAAACACCTGCTTATCCAACCATAGCAAAAAAAAAATATCGGGTTACTGTTCCTTTGCGCCCTCTGTTGATCGAATGATATACTATATAATTTTTCTTTCTTTTTTTTCCAATTATGAAACACAACAAAAAGGCTTGCAGATAGAGTTTCGAAGGAGTTAAACGTAAAGTAAAGATACACCAACAAGGAGGATCGAACCAAAAGTTATCACACTACGTCGTACAACTGTAAGCAAAACAGGGAATTTTGCTTTTATATTTTTGTTTCTTTAGAAAGACGTGTAATGTGTACACATTATCGGTATCGATATTTTTAGCTTACGACATAGTTATCGAGTGATCTAAGTTTCTGTCTTGTCACTTGTTATAAGTCAAATGTTATGCTTGCACACTAATGTTTGGTAAATATAATGCATCTGAATAATTTGAAATATAAATTAACAGCGATTACAAATTAAAACCAAATACAGAATATATATAAAAATGCGAGTTTTTATTTGCTTGTTCGTTGTTTGGCTTGTTTTGAATTTCGCGCAAAGCTAAACGAGGGTTATCTGAGCTAGCCGTCCGTAATTTAGCAGTGTAAGACTAGAGGGAATGCAGCTAGTCATCACCCCCCCCCACCGCCATCTCTTGGGCTACTCTTTTCCCAACGAATTGTGGGATTGACCGTCATATAATAATGCTCCTACAGCTGAAAGGGCGAGCATGTTTGGTGTGACGGGGATTCGAGTCAGACTGCGCCCTAACCACCTGGCCATGCCGGGCCTTGTTCGTTGTTAAGTACAAAGTTGTACAATAGGCTATCTGTGCTGTGTTCATCGCCGGTATCTAAACCTGATTCTTAGCGTTATAAGCATTCGGAATTAACACTGAGCTACAGAAGGCGGGAATTTTGGGACTAAAGCTTTGGAAATTAGAAAATCTCTTCTAAAGCTGTATAAGATATTACATTCATTTAAAATTAGGCAAACTTACAGAACTAGTGTTAACCAAACAAATGTTATTTAAAACTATTTAATTATTACTGAATGTTTCCCAGTTGCAACAAATCAATACACGACTTTCTTAAATGCTGAAAATTCTGTTAAAACTTGCATATAAGTTGATTTAAAAAAAAAGACAAAATAACCGTATTTCATTCTTTTCAACTCCTTCTGTACAAATTAAATATATTACCTCTAAAAATTTTTTAAACTAACAGAAAACAAATTGAAATCTACCGATTCGACATCTTTCGACCAACAGAGGGCGCAGAAGTTAGGGAACCACAATTTGCAAGGGGTAGTAAGGTAATTTTTTTATTGACTTCAATCATTTAATCTGCCTTCTTAATCATTATCATGATAAAAAATCGACCATCAAGAACGTTTGCATAATGTAAGAGTGGAACAAATTCAGCTAATTTAAATTATATCCTATGATTTTTATAGTTAAAAGTTTCTCTTTTAATAGTCCTTGTAAATCTTCATTAGCTAACAATCTAAATTTTGACATATCACCCTTAAAATATAAAATTCTTATTCATTTTGTCATAATGAAAAGAAGAGAGACTCTTGAATATTTTTTTTTGCGACGAAGGTAGAAAATTTATACTTTTTCTACCATTAACAGCTACAAGAAACATGAATCGCCAGATGATCTGAAACTTAGGTGTTTATCATCCCTTAAAAACCTCTCACATAACAGAAACGATGTTATCACTCGCCCTGAAAAGAAAACTGGTCAATAAAACCTTATTACATCTGACAATGTGCGATATTTTAGACGATCAGCTAAGCCCCCCCAGTGGCACAGCGGTATGTCTGCGGACTTACAACGCTAGAATCCGGGTTTCGATACCCGTGGTGGGCAGAGCACAGATAGCCCACTGTGTAGCTTTGTGCTTAATTACAAACAAACAAACGATCAGCTAAAATTCAAAGCCTTAGCCAACAATCCTATATCTCTTAATGATCACTGAGGAGATCAAACAGAAAGATATTTGAGAGACTTAAAACATTAAATATTAAGTTGAAGTCTTGCTTGTGTCTAGTTGCGCGTCCTTCGAAACGTCAGCAATTCAAAGGTCCCTCTTAAATCCATATTCTCTGCTAGAGCGCCTATCACTACAAGTTGTCCAAATTTTTTATTTCCATTTTATTCCTTACAATAAAGTAATATTTTTTCTCCAACTTCTTTCATTTCTTCAATAAAATTACTCATCTTCCCTCCCTTTCGTGGGTTCGGATCCCCGTCCCACCAAACATGCTCGCCCTTTCAGCCGTGGGGGCGTTATAATGTGACGGTCAATCCCACTATTCGTTTGTAAAAGAGTAGCCCAAAAGTTGGCGGTGGGTGGTGATGACTAGCTGCCTTCCCTCTAGTCTTACACTGCTAAATTAGGGACGGTTAGCGCAGATAACCCTCGTGTAGCTTTGCGCGAAATTCAAAAACAAACAAACCCTCCCTTTCGTAACCACTTCTCGTCCGAATTTAAACCTTATATTTACCAATACTCGTTTGGATGAAACAATTGACCTTCGTCTCTGGAGACTTTTGAAAATAATACCTTTATTAAAGGCTTGTCCAAGTCGCAATCCATATCTACGACAGTTCCCATATTCTTTCTGATAATTGCCCTTATGAATATATATATATATCTGGTATTATAATGCATTGCCCTGTCAAATTAAAACTGTTCAAAACGTTCTGTTCTGTTCAAAACGTATGTAGATGACACTTTTTTGTTCTCTTCCGCTCTCAAAAACAAGTTTCGCGTTTCTTTAATTATCCCAACTCATGTATTTTACATGAGAACCTGAAGTCAACCATGTCCATCCATTTTTAGATGGTCTTGTTAAACACGACTCTGTTGGTCTCTTTACTTCCGTTTTCCAATTCAAAAAATTACTAAACTTATCATATAGATACGACTTTATTCTTTCCCTATTAATTAGAGCCGACAACCTCAAATGTTTTGCTTCACTAATATGATATATTCTTTTCCAAGATGCAATATTTATTCCAATACTCACTTGGAAATTAAATTGAATTAGTTATAAGTCAATGCTGACGCCAAGTTGACTTGAAGTTCATTGCATTCAGAAATATTATCTTCGAAACAAAGGCTGTCTTATGTTTTTCTGGTGTTACTGGTTTGACGAAATGTTGACGGTTACTGGCTTCGCCGAAATGTTGCTCGCCGAGTTACTTTTCTTTACTGCAATTGTAATTAATTTCTTTGTATTTTAAAATATTATTTCTCTGTTGCTGCATCTGTTTGTTGTTCGTGTTATGTTTTTTCTGTAGTATTTAAACTGCCTTGTTTTACTTTTGTATGTTTGGGCATATATTTGTGCATATTTTTGTTTAAAATAGTACACGTTTTTTATTACCTTGGTGATAAAATCTGTAAAATGCCGAAGTGTTTTAATGAATATATTTTATAATGTTGCCATATATACATTATTGTTGGTTAAACTAAGATATCTGGCACACGAATCCTTTGTATAATGAAGGGTATCACCTTTATATGTTATCAAATAATTGCAACAGGTTGAAAGATGCTTTCTTGAAAAAAGAACAAAATATAATTTGTTTCACAACGTTTGAAATAATCTTGTTAAATATTTGGCATGTCCAGTTTCGTTGTGATTTTAACATCGACCAACTATCTTACATAGTATATCTGTATTAAAACTCGCTAAGAAAGAAGTTGTACAAATTTCTCAGAATGTAGTTATACAAAACAGAATAGAGAATTTTCAGATAAGAATAGGGTTAAACTCAATTCTGGCCTGTCTCAATTAAGGAAATATACTAAACATAAGTTTTACAGTGTATGTACACAGAGTTTATTTATTGAATAGTAAGCACTCAATTCTGGCCTGTCTCAATTAAGGAAATATACTAAACATAAGTTTTACAGTGTATGTACACAGAGTTTATTTATTGAATAGTAAGCACTCAATTCTGGCCTGTCTCAATTAAGGAAATATACTAAACATAAGTTTTACAGTGTATGTACACAGAGTTTATTTATTGAATAGTAAGCACATTAAACAATCAATAGCCGTGTTCACTCGACAAGGGACGATCGTGCTTCTTTCCAAATGTGGGCCCCCCAGTGGCACAGAGGTATGTCTGCGGACTTACAACGCTAGAAACCGGATTTCGATACCCGTGGTGGGCAGAGCACAGATAGCCCATTGTGTAGCTTTGTGCTTAATTCCAAACAAACAAACAAACCAAATGTGGATGGATTTATGTGAGGAGAAAATATTTTCGGTTATTCGATTATCAAGACTCGGAGAATCAATCACTTTATACAATTATTCAAATAGAATCAAATCTCCCAGTGTATTTTGTTAAACTATTCTTAGTCTTCGGGTATTTCTAAATCTCCACATGATCGATTATACTAGATAACACATTAGCATCAGTGTAAGGAAATACCAAAGGAGAAATGACCCTTGATAGTATGTGACTAGCACAGGAAGAAGTCAAAGTATTCTAAAGCCGGATATCTGCAAAGTATTCATTTAAAGCGTGTAACTACAAAACTATTTTGGTGAATGAGAAATGTTCACCTTTCTAAAAAATATCAAACGAAACACCTGGTATGCTTCATATACCATAACGATATCTTACCAGTGTTATCTGCATTACAAGAGGAAGTTTTGGCTATACATTCACATGTTCCATTGATACAGGTACTGTAACGATCTCTAGCTTGGCATTCAGCTTCTTTGCTGCATCGTTTACCGAGAGAAATAGCTGTCGCAGAAGATATTTTTTGTTCAACAGGATCTAGGGGGAAAAACGTGTATTTAATGGTGAGAAACTTTCTGAAACGATTCAAATACCTAATGTTTCAAGGAAAAAAACAAACAGATATTGTTATTGCCTTTTTAAGATAACTCTAACTCTCCCCATAATTTTTAAGAAACTCTGATTCTACCAATATTTTTTAGGATAACACTAACTATCACCTTAATTTTTTTACTGCCGTTATTAAAAAAGAATATTGTTTTATTGCACATTATTTCTCTAACTGTCACTTTTTACCACAGACTTTCTTGATATTCAAACTTTACATGATTAAAAATTTTCAAGTTAAGCGCAAAAGTTACCATAGACAGCAGTGAACACACACTGCCAGAATTTTATGTACGAGGCCCATTAACTACAAACTGCTTTCTTTTCTGTTCTGACATTTTTCCGAGAAAAAAAAATATTAGTGAATTATAATTTACTCCTGTATTTTATACTGCTCAACTGGACAGCAGAAAATAGTAACCGTAATCAGGAGTTCAAATGGACATCAGAAAACTGTAAGCGTAATAAGACGCTGAAACTGACGCTATAACAATGGGTAAGTGATGGACTTGGCCAGCACAAACTCTGACGGTGATCAAGTGTTGAATGGGAGTATCAAAAACTACATTTGTCCGTAATCAGATGCGCAAACTGAAGACAAAACCCTATTTTTACATGCTAAAAAAGATGTAAAAAAATAGATATAGATTATCAGTCTCTAAAACTGAATAACCCAGTAAAATCTATATTTGATCTGGCATCTGAAATTGAGAAATGGGAGAAGTGTATTTACGTTAGTGGATGTACGAAATTACTGTATCTTTCATACGTCAGGACAGATCTCATATGTATTGTTGGAATGAATCTGAAAGATACATTTTGTACAAATTACCACAGCATTAGAGCAGTACACTTTATAAGTGTGTTCTCTTGTTTACAGAAATCCCATAAGAAATATTGTAAGTTGAACATAACATTTTGTATACGAAACGTAAAAGAATTGCTCAGAGTTGTTAAATACTTTGATATATATATGTATATAATAAAGTCAAAATCCCTGTTGTTCTACTATAAAATACAAAACTGTAAATACTTGTAAAGATATTGTAAAGAGGAACTGATTGGGATATATAAAAAGTCGTATTGATCTTTTCCCAAATAAGTAGTATCCATATTTATATGTTCTTATCATCCCACGCTACAGTAAACTTCATTACTGCCGTTGAAACATTAAAATAATTAATCAAAGCTTATCATAAAATGAAAGACTATCGGAATTTTGCTAAAGTGTAAAGTATTTTTTTTTAACAACTTGCAGGATATAAGTTGTAAATTACAAATTAGTTTTAGTTTACTCCTACCCTGGATTTTGTTTCTTTCACAACGGAGTTTGTTTTTTGAGGATCTAAATCCTTCTCGGCATTCACATATGGTTATTTTCTTGTGTTTCTTACAATAAGAACCAGGAGTTGCTTCATTACAGTCCTCAGAAGTTTTGCACTTGTTGCCAAGAACTAGAATAAATCAAAAGGATTAATAAACTTGTTGATTCAAAGCCATTACGACATTTCGTAATAGGCTCTTAGTCACTTTATGCATAAATACTGACTTAATGAAATAATTATTTTTATCATGTTGTTAATAAGATAGAATTATTATAAAGCAAAAGAAAAATAGATGATATCATTGTTAGTACTCACGTGGTAAACAGCGTTTGTTGCCTGTCAACAAGTATTTTAACGGACACTGACATTTGCCGTAGATATCAGAAATTATCCAATCACAGTAGGTGTACTTATCTGATAATCGGCATTGTTCATGGTTCAGACAGTAGTCTCCTATCTTTGCCACTGCAATACAAAACACGGTTATTTTGTTTTTAACTCAATTACCGAAGCGTGTTAAATGTCAATGAATATGTATATGAATAATACCATATCCGTGAACCTGATAAACAAAATAAAATATATTAGTACACGGTACACAGATTAGTTTCAAATATTTTTAATTATTTAATCTTTATGTATTAAAACACTGATTAAAGGCCAACACTAATAGAATAATGGAGTGGCACCTATCCGGTAACACCTAGCTACAGAATGTATCTACGTTTCAATGACTCCATTCTAGAATACCGGAGTTGAAGCGAGACAAACCTCCACCCAACAGTTGATAATAACTGATACGCTAAAATAAAAACTTCTATTCTACTACGTTAAAATGTTTCACGTCACAGAGAAATGAGGTAATTCTATGTGGTATTCCTGTGTTGATAGGAAGATAAGAACATCAAATAATTCTTTAAGTAATGCCCACATTTACAAACAAAACATAAATAGTAAATATGAAAAAGTAAATGAATCAAACAACTATTGTAAGTAAACACTATACATATCAAATAGACTGGTATACTTAACAAAAACAAAGAAATATTATGGGCTTATCGATCACAATTTATAGATATTGGGTTCCTTTTTGTAATAACTCTTACTTGTAAACAGCTGGTAACTTTATTTATTGTGTTACTTCTGGACAAATCTTCAGTAATTAACTGAATACATTACTCTTCCTATTTAGTAGTTTTAATTATGCAAACAGATGGCTCCTATATGCTTTATAGTACCAGAAAAATTAAAATATACTGTCACACATAAGCTTTTCATTGAAAGAAAATATACATACATATTTCCTTTCGGTTAAATGTAAATCAATGAAAGCGCAGTGACCTATGATAGGTAAGTTATAAAATGTTTAAACTTTTTTAACCAGTAAAGAAAAGTTTGTAAGTAACGTAAAAAGAAAGGAACACATTATGCATATCGCGAGGGGATTCTTAATAATTCGGGATTTTTTTTTGTACGTTCCCCATACATACAACAAACTCACCGGGTAAGCATTTGTCTAGTCTGAATGGAATAAAATTAGGTTGGCATTCACACAAACCATTGACACATCGACTGTTCTTGACTTTCACTTGACACTGAGCATCTATGGCACATCCAAATCCTAGAAGTGTGGCTGAAAACATTTCAGAAAATTTCGTTTAATTTACTGAACATGACATGCCGTTTCAATCAGTTTAAATGTTTCTATATAATTAAGTTCGTATATTTAAACATTCGTGTGATAATACAGCGTATTATCTCCTAGTGAAAATGTTATCATATCATTTGAGATTCCCAAAGTAATAGATAGCCGAGTAAAAATAATCCTCTTCTATGTATAGAAGTAAAAAAGTGTGTTTGAAAAGGATACTTTTTTTTTAAATTCGGGTTTATTATTATATGGGGTTTATTGTGTGATTGCTTTAAATGTTAATATAAAATCAGATTAGATGTTTCAGTACATAAAAAAAATCAATCATTGTTGTAAGACAATAACATGCAATGTAAATCTAAATATTTAATTGAATTGTATTTTCTTATAGCACACAATACATAAAATACTTCAAATAAATTTCCAGTGTTGCAATGCTTGAGATAAATAATATACTATTTATTTGTTTGTTTTTTCTAGAGCAAAGCCACAATGGGCTATCTGGTGTGTCCACCGCGGGGAATCAAACCCCGAATTTTAGCATTGTAAGTCCGTAGAATTACTACTGCTTCATCGGGGGCATGATATATTATGAAATGACCTGCATCCAGGTTAGCTGCTGAATCTCGACTCCACCATGGCAAAGTTTTAAATATGTTTTAGATAGTCACTTAAATGTCAAATTATATATGTTTATAGGTGTTAATAAAATATATAAATTGTAAATAATTTGTATCACACACCTTGAAAATTACAATCTAACCTGTATCATATTTACTCCATCTCTGAAAAAAATTCAGCTGATAATTTACCGTTGAACATTTGGATTATTATAACATTGAGGCTAACCCAATCTCCAATATCCTAGATTTTAAGGTTTATTAAACCATATTGATAAAAGACTATTCGTTGAATTAACCCATTTAATCATATTATGTTTGTTCTTAAAGAACGACTAATAAAATAGCGTCTTCACGATACTAAGTTATAAATCGAATTTTATCTTATGAACAAAGTTTTTGATCATTAAAACGTGTATTTTTTTTACCTGTATATTTCATTTATGTAATAATTACTATGTTAATTATTACTATGTTTATAATCAGCTAGACAGCTATATCACTGGTTAAGTGTAAATCAACTGGTAGCTATAACATAACTTGTTTTTTATCTAGAGGAAAATTCATCTATTATATAGACGGATAATAACTTAAAAATATATCCTGCTATTTCTTCAGACAGGTAATTTAATTTTTCCTGAAGAGGATAGAGGGATGATTTTTCACAGATCTCCTAACGAGGAAATATCATCCTCCAAACATGTTTGACCTGTAATCATTATCTGTACATGCTTGAGTTGTGATCACCCTCTGAACATGCTTGAGTTGTGATCATCCTCTGTACATGCTTCAGTTGTGATCACCCTCTGAACATGCTGGAATTGTGATCACCCTCTGAACATGCTTGAGTTGTGATCTCCTTCTGAACATGCTTGAGTTGTGATCATCTTCCGTATGTGCTTGAGCTGTGAATCTTTGGAAAGTTCACAAAGTTGTTATAGCTTTTATATGTTTCGAAACAATTAATGCACCCTATCATCAGATAATCCGATCACCCTGTATCTAAAGTACAAGTTTTTCGTTGAATAGTTAGTCTAATGCTTAGAAGCTAATCCATTAATCAGTTAGGTGATCAAGGAACTGCTCTACTCTTACTAGTAAAAAAAGAAGCTTCAGAAGTACAATAAATTAAAACATAATTTAGATGGACTATTATTACATGTGATAAATATGAATATTCCTTTCAATCATACAAATTACTCACGTGGTAAGCATGTTGTATGATTGAATTGGACATGATAAAAGCGACAACTACATATTCCTTTATCCCAGCTGCAGTAACTGTTGGGAATGAACAGAAGACAGACTAACGAAGATTTACAAGAAGATCCTAACTTCACGGAGGATGGTAGAAGAAGACCTGTAAAATATAAGTGGGAACAAAATAGAAGTTAAATCTAGCAATAATATTTTGTGATTAATGCTCAAAAATAAAATTGAAATATTATAGTTACAGGGGAGTAAAACACATTGCTTTAGGTTAAAAGAAATTATTTAAAAACAAATTGTTATCCTTCTCGTATTGTTAAAGTATGCTATCCAGTTTCCTTGTTAAAAATTATAACGTTTTATTTAATAGGATCTGGAGAGAGTGACGGTTTTGTTGATTTTGTTAAAACATTTTTGGTGTAAAAATGTGTTTTTCGGTAGTACCGCTAATTTAATTAAACATAAAACTTAATAATAATTTAAGAATAACTAAAAATATAATACGCCCTGTATGTAGGTTGAATTTTTACCCGCTTCTAAAAAATGTACTGTTACAAAAGAAATCTCTTGTTGTTAACATTGAGATTAATGGCTATTTTCACCATATCATAAATTATTAAACAAGTGAAAAAGCATCAAAACCTTAAAATTATAAGTTTAGTGTTAACTACAACTGTTATACATTTCTTAGCTTCACAGTAAATTTCTTCTTAAAAACTATTTTTGTGTTTGTTTTCAAGTACAAAGTTATACAATGGGCTATTTATGTTGTGTCCTCCGTATGGATCAAATCGATAATTTTTGAGTTACGATCTCTCGAGTGTACGTCTGAGCCACCGAGGTGCGATTATTTTTATAATACGTATCAATAAAATGTAAAAATAGTAATTACTTCGTATTACACAACTTCGAAATTACAGTCTTACATGTTTAATACTAACTACATATTTCAGAAATATTCTGCTGATAACATTCTGTTGTTCCGTATGGATCAAACCAAGAATTTTAAAGTTACAAGTTCTTGAGTAAACCTCTGAACCACCGAAGTGCAATTATTTGTATAAAATTAAATAGTTTATGTTGTACAATTTTTAAGATTTGTTAATTTTTAAGTTAATAATTTCATGGTTAATAACAATACTGTGTGGTTTTATACCTTAAATAAGTAATCACACTTCAAATTATATAGAGGGTTATTTTTTCTAAGTTCCGGCGAAAGACGCAAATAATACTAACGTAGCACTTAGACATCTTCTACCTCTAAACTGTAGGCGTTATCACGTTTTTATAAGTAGGCTTAACGACTGCTAAAATACACGTTAAAAACGCTTCTTATATCTTTATCAGCTCTTACCGTTCTGGTTAGATGTCCATGATTGATGAGATGAAGCACTAGAATACAAGGTACAAATCACGAAAACCTAAAATTACCAGAAAAAGATGTTAACACTATTATTTTGGCTTCAAAATTTTGATTGTTTACTTTATGATAAGCAAAGGTTGATTACTTTGTTAAGTTCGGACATGCTATTAATGTTAAGACAGGTCTTGTGATGGAAAATGTTTAATCGGCAGTAGCTGAACAATAAAAATCCTGGTACCAAATCTCCAAAATATTATTTCATTACATCCAACTGCCAAGATATTTCAGGTCATTATTTCTTTTGCAACAAAATGATATTAATTTTCCATATAAATATTTGACTAAGAACCCTTAAAGACAAAACTTGCTGATGTAAAACATAAATATGTATAAAGTATGTGAAGAGCAGAAGACAGAGTGTACGTTTGCTGTTAAGCACAAAGCTACACATCGGCTTACAGTGTTGTTCTCACTTTGGGTATAGAAATCATATTTTTAGTTATGGATCCGCAGACTTACCGCTAAGCAACTGTTGATCCAAGTGCATGATAAAGAACTTGTATTGAGTTGGTAGATGACTTAGTTGGGCGCCCCCAGTGGCACAGCGGACTTACAACGCTAGAAACCGGATTTCGATACCCGTGGTGGGCAGAGCACAGATAGCCCATTGTGTAGCTTTGTGCATAAATTCAAACAAACGAATAGACTTAGTTGGCAGAAACTAAAAATACAAACTAACATTCCAGCAAGCTTTCAAAATGTCGTTAATCATATACATCTCGAAGAACAGTATTTAACTAAAGGTAGACCGTCTTTGAGGCAGTAACTATAGAGACAACTATACCACGATTTAATTATTTCTCGGCCAGTAGCTGCAGTATTATTCAGCTAATAGCTAAAAACATTAGTCGTTCAATAGCTAAATACTACACAAACAGGACATGGCCCACTATTCAAAAGCTAAACCACCTATCAACTCATATCTCTATCGATCTGTATTATATACTAATCCATTAATTAGCACAGTAATCAAAGAACAGCAATATTTCTTAGAATCAGCAAAATGCCGTTGTTATGGTTAACAGTCTATACGATCACATAAATCTAGTTATCAACTAGCTAGTTCACATTCTAATTTTTTTACTAGACACTAATTAGTTTACATTCTACTTTTCAACTGCTTATCTGCTACCGCTTTCAGAGAAGTCCTGAGAAGTAATATATGTTGTGGTAAGGCTGGATTCGTTCGTGGTCTCTTCGACTTACATTAACTAACTATATGTCTATTATGTTCTTGAATTATGATTTCTGTTTATCCAATATATTGTAGTCCGCATATATAAGGGATGGATAATTTGCTCTCTAGTGAATATTTAGGGGGTTTAGTATGTACTAACTGCTTTATGCTGTTTTATTATCATTTTATTTATTTATTTTTTGCATTTAGAGATACCTCCGACTTAAAGTTATATGGCTTGTATGTCTGTAATGTTGTTCTTTCTCATTCTTGGTGTTTATATCCTTTATTTTTTCTTTATCAAGTGTCCATGATATCCAGTATCAAGACGAGTTGTTCGTATGTGCTATTGGTATCTCCTGTATCCCAGATATTTTTGCTCTTGGACTATAGGCAGTCTTTGACACTTATCTTTACACTTTTTGGACAGTTTGATCAGTAGTTCAGTGTTTACCATTACCTGTAATCTCCTGTGGTGTATGAGTTATGTGTCCTAGTAACCATCATGTCTAGCAATGGCAGTTGTTATCTTTATCTATTTCATTTTTTACATTGTGAATTATATACCAAGATGTTGTTTGTTCAGGTGGCTCATGCGTTCTTGAATCTTGTCTGTAGTGTTGCCATATTACGAACGCATCGTCAACATATCTAGACTGACTTCTGAGAGTTAGAGTAACTGATTTGAGGGCATTAACTTCGAAATGTTCCATGTAAAGGTTACTGGGTACTGGTGATAGAGGTAAGCTTATGGCTAGGCCTTCTTATTGTTTGTAGTATTTATCTTCTTGTGTTGAGAAAGTTCCCAAGTACTTTTTTTCAAGTAATATCACAATAACTACTTCGATGTGCGCAAGATTTTCTGAAGCTTTGAAAACGCCTATAAATCTTGAGCTAAGAGCGATAGACCTGTGTCGTAAAGCAAATAACGATGTGAAACTAGCTACCAGGAGGACAGGAAAATCTAGTTTGCATCCTGCTTGCAATGGGCCGATAGTGTAAACAGGAAGATACAGGTTCTGTTGTGTGAACGAAAGTTTGAGTTGATAATCGTGCACGTATGAAAAAATACGTTGTTATTCATGGTGCATGTTAAATATTAACTCAGACTTTTTACACAGTCCCATTATTCTACAACATACAAACTAATATACAGATATGTTAAGCTCTACAGTTAAGGCCTTTATCATGTCTATGCACTTTTTCCATTCTGATACCAGTACGATAACATTTAAAGCACTTTTAAGCTTATCTAGAATTAAATAAACAATATGAGGTACATATATTATATTTACCTAGTTTTTATCTATGTTGGTGACAAATTTGAGGTACGTTATATCAAATCAAAACAGAATCAGTGCTGTAATGAATGTATAATAATTTAGACGTATGAGTATATAATTCCTTTAGTGATGAATCTATAAAGATATAAATATGTAGGTGTATAATCCATGCAACAATGTGCGTATAAACGTGTAGATATGGAGATGTATAATCCATGCAACAATGTGTGTGTATAAAGGTGTAGATATGGAGATGTATAATTCGTGCAGCAATGTGTGTGTATAAAGGTGTAGATATGGAGATGTATAATTCGTGCAGCAAGAATCTATAGTTATATAGATTTGTAGATGTATAATCAGTGCAACAATGTATGTATAAAGGTGTAGGTATGGAGATGTATAATTCGTGCAGCAAGAATCTATAGTTATATAGATTTGTAGATTTATAATCTATGCAACCTATAAAGATGTATCCGTGTAGTAATGAATATATAGCGACGTTGACATATAAGAAAAAAATATAATTGCAGTAATTATTGTATTTGATGTGAAACCAGAACATTAAATAACGTCAGTCTAGTAGTTAATCTAGTTGTATAGGTCTAGATTTAATGCAGTAATCAATCTATATGTGCAGGCATAGAATCAGTCCAGTAATTAATCTATAAGGACAAATATTATATTGTTATGCAATAAAGTGAAAATGTTGGTGTATTATTGTTGAGCACCTTAGTTATCCATGCAAACATAATTGTGTTTCGTACTCTGTGCTATAAAAATATTGTTGTTGCTATATGCAACATGAAAATTCTTGTTTTCTTTGTTCACTTAAAATAGCTAAGAATTCTTGTACCATAAGACCTCGTGACTTGGCTGTGAAATGTTCTCGGACTTAATTTCAAGTCAGCGTACCATCTAGAACATGAACCACAGTGAACAAATGAGAGATTTTTCGCTTGAGATAATTTATTCATTCATGAAAGTTTGGTAAAGTAACGTTTTTCATAGCTAGGGCAATTTACCAAGTCGTTTAACTTGTCTAATCTAATCTGGCGACGTTATTCATATACTTATCGGTTCTAATGATTTTCTAATTATAGGGTAAAAATTCAGGAGCATTTGGTGAAATCGCGGTTTTAATCCCGTCGCAGTGTTGGTGTACAAACGTCTGTACTCACTAATCTTCCTGTTTTCCTTGCATTGTTTGTGCATCTCGGAGCTCTATTGTTATCGGAAAACAAAAAGTTGCCATGTGAATGGCTTGTATATACCTTGCCCTCTGACGGCAGTAACTCAAACGAAAGATCTTAAATAAAGTTAAACTCGGTAGTATTTCTTCTCGCTCCATTCTTGTGTAATAAAGAAAAGATTATGATATTAGATCATCGAATTAACACTTGTTGATAATACATTAATTAAGTAAGGCCCAAGATTTCTATAATTCAATAAATGATCAGATATAATTTACAGAATGTTGTTAGATAGTATTCTAAATCAAGTTACCTTAACACTACTAATCTTTCTTCAGAAGAATATACATAATTTTTGTCAAAACACAATTGATATACGCTATTTCAACAAACACCACTCTATTTTTTATTGTTTCCTGACCACTAAAACGTGTAAAATGCGTTAATCTTAATACTTCATCGACACTAACAAATATTTTACATTAAACTGTTTTTTTTTTGTTTAGTTATTGTAAAGAAAATAGTTATGGTGTTTTTAAATTATGATCTTATTATTGTTTAGTAAATTAAACTACGGTTTAAAAGCAATTGATTATCCCCCATCTCTTATTCTTTAAAATAAAAATCAAGTTGAAAAGAATCAAAACAAAATTAATTTATAATCACACTATATCTTATTAAAAGTTTATAAAAAAAACCAAATAATAAAACAAGAAAAATGGTCTAGACACTTACCATAATTACTGCAGAAGACAACCTTCTGTGGCAATTTTGTTGTTCGTTCATATTGATAATCTTTGATTTCGAAAACCTAAACTGAAAGAGAAATACATATATAGTAGGTTTGTAATAACTTTTAAATATTTCATATAGAATATAGAAACGTAAGACTATTTTAAGTAAAAG